GATTCGTAACGTATATATATATATATATATATATACGTATATATGTATATATATATGTATATATACGTATATATATATACGTATGTATATATTTGTTGTTATGGAATCAACTCTGCTTCATAGTGACCCTATGCAGGGGTTCTGAGGAACAGCTGGTGGGTATAACCACTGATTTTGTGGTTTGCAGTCCAGTGCTTACAGCGCCACACTAGGATGCCAGTATATATAAATATATGGCTTCAGTGAGGAATGATTTGCATAAATATGTCCATTATTCCTTACTGCCTGAAGGTCCTTTGACCTAAATCTGTTTGTCCTCCTAGGTTAGTGATTCTTAACACAACTTGAAGGTAATTGTTTTCTTGTTTTCCAGTTCCTATGATAACTGTCAGTAAGCCAGAACGCTCACTTACCCTGACTACCTTGTTCCTCGTCACTCTGGACTATGTTTCTTTATATCAAATATATTATTTAACCTTTAGGTCAATAGGATTTTGTTTTATTTTTATTAATCTACTGGGAAAAGAAAGGAGGAGTTAGTGTTTTTAAAACCATTACAAATTTGTGATAAAGACTAAGACTTGATTTTTATTATGTATTTTTTTTCTAATGGCATACTCGTATACATATATTTCTTCATTATAATTTATACATTATTTATAAAATTTTATCCAATTAATGGACAATTGATGGTTTCTGTTTTTCTCAATATAGTTGATCCAAATTGTATGTTTGTTTTTGTGTATGTGTGTGTGCAAAGAGGGTGTGTGCAAGACTTTATTCTCATATAAATTGATAGTGTAAAAATAAAATATAAAAAGAGATACTTTATGTTGTAATCATAATCCCTTATTTGTCTAGGCTGAGCAAAGAGAACTGAATCAGTAAACTAATTGTAAATCCGTTACACTCTGAGGTATTTACATAAAAGTTGTTTAATCAAGTCTTCCATTAACACCTGCCAAGTCTGCAGAGACCTTTTTAAGATGACTACATAGTCATTATGGTTAAGGGAGTTATTTAAAATAAGTAATTTTTTTTTTGGAAGAAAATAAGATTGTGGTAATTTTAGGCTTCAGTAATCATAACGTAAATAAAGGTGATGGGTTTTAAACTGGAAAGGCTGCCAGAGAATGAAGAAACATAGTCAGCTTTCACCGGTAAAGGCTAAGTTGGTAAATGGGTCAAGGACACTATTTGTTGTTGTCGTTCAGTGCCGTGTAATCTAAAATGCATTACGAGCTGCCCATAGCACCTCTCAGCTGTCAGCTTGTCAGACTGTGTTGGCATGAGTGTTAATGTGATGCTGGAAGCTATGTGTCTGGTATGTCAAATGCCAACAGGGTCCTTCGCAGTGGGCAGTTTTAGCAGATTCCAGACTGATAGACTCGGAAGACGAACCTGGCGATTTACTTCTAAAAAGATTGTTCTGTGAAATCCTGATGAATAACAGTAGCCCATTATCTGCTGTGGTGCCTGAAGATTGAACTCTTCAGTTTGGAAGCCACTCTGGATCCAACTAGGGAAGAGCTGCTTCTTTAAAGTGGAATCAGCCTTGCTACTGTGGATGTGGTCAAGCCTTTGGAACCGTCATTTGCTGATACAGCATGATTCCAACTGAGAAGAAACAGCCGCAAACATAAATGGATGGATTGGATAGAGTATGAATCTAGGAAGATTAGAGTTGTCGAAATAGAAATTGAAGGCATTAACATAGATATCCTAGGCGTAGGTGGTGGTATTAGGTGCCATCATGTCGATTCTAACTCATAGCGATCTTGTGCACAAAAGAACAAAACACTGGCCTGTCTGGCACCGTCCTCACAGTCATCCCTAAGCTTGAGCCCATAGCTGCTGATAGTGTGCTAATCCGTCTCCTTGGGGGTCTTCCTCTTATTCACTGACACTCCATTTTACCAAGTATGATGTCTTCTCCAGGGACTGGTCTCTCCTGGTAATATGTCTGACGTCTGAGAGACTAAAGTCTCTCCATCCTGGTTTCTAAAGAGCATTCTGCTGAACTGCTTCCAATAAAGAGTCCCTCAGTGGGTACCATCTTGATGACAACCAGAACAAGATGCCCAGGTAGGCAGCAGAATGCCTTTTACAAAAGGCACCGACCATCCCTTCCCAGCCCTCTACTCAGCTGGATTTGGTAGTCATTGCAATAGCCACAGAACTCAGACACTGTCCTCATAGGTAGGGGTTTATTAGGAAAGTTCGCAGGTCACAAGTCAGGACTCTGTCATTCCCACAGGCAGGCTTCTCTCGGCCCCTTGGCCTGGCCCCCTCCTGCTCAGGCAATGTAACAAAGCTCTTTCAGGGCTGATGAGTGCCCTGCAAAACACTCCATTGTACCCTAAGGTTCAGTCTGAAGGCATTCAGTTCTAGTGCTGTGGGTCAGCTGAGTTCCCGTTGGCACCCCACTCCACACATGAGCCTCCTGGCAAAGGCACTCTACTTGCTCCATGGACTGGGAAGCCTGCCACTCTGTCTGCTGCTCTGGCTCTTGGGGCTGCTGCCGCTTCTCAGGTGTCACAGCTTTCTGATCCTGGATCAGGAAGGTTCAATGTGCAGGGATTTCGAGGTGCAAAGGATGCCCTCTTCTCCTACCTCTTCTTCCTGCGTGGTAGTGAGACTGTCCCTCTGCTTCTGAGATGGCTCATTTTATACCTTGCAGAATGTTAACATTGACCAGTCACAATTAGTCTTGTTAATAGTCACTCACAGCCAAAACATAATCGATTAGCATCTTCCCCAAGCTTTTTTTTACCCAGACCCATCAGGAAAAAGACATTTTCTGGGAGTCTACAATGATTATGGCAATGTAAAGAAAACAAAAATCCTCACCACTGGACCAATAAACAACATTCTTATCAACGGAGAAAAGATTGAAGTTGTCAAGGACTTCTTTCTTGGATCAACTCAACACTCATGGAAGCAGCAGTCAAGAAATCAAGAGATGTATTGTATTAGGCAAATCTGCTGCACAAGACCTTTTAAAAATGTTGAAGAGCAAAGGTGTCAGCTTGAAGATTAAGCCATGGCATTTTCAGTAACCTCATAAGCATGTGAAAGTTGGACAGTAAATAAGGAAGACCATAGAACAATTGTTGCTTTTGAGTTATTGTGTTGGAGGAGAATATTGGAAGTGCCATGGGCTGCCAAAAGAACCAACAGATCTGTGTTGGAAGAAATGCAGACAGAGTGTTCCTTGGAGATCAAGATGGCCAAACTTCATCTCTTATACTTCGGACATATTGTCAGGAGGGACCAGTCACTGGAGAAGGATATCATGTTTGGTAGGGTGGAGGGTCAGAGAAAAAGAGGAAGACCTCCAACAAGATGGATTGATTGGCCAAGTGGCAGTATCAGTTGGCTCAAGCGTGGTAACAGTAGTGAGGTCGGCCCAGGATCGGGTAGTGTTTCGTTCTGCTGTGCATAAGGTCGCTATGAGTCAGCACCAGCTCGATGTCACCTAACAACAACAATGACTATGTTATTGTTGCTAAGTGCCGTTGAGTTGGTTCCAACTCATAGCAACCCTGAATAGTTTCCAAGGAGCGGCTGGTGTGTTTGAACCTCTGACTTTGTGTTTCAAACTAACCTTGCAGTCCAGTGCATTATCATGAGAGCCACAGTAGGACATGAAATGGTTCACTGCACCGCAGCTACTCAGAGGAACGCCTGTCCACGTGTATTCCCTCCTGTTGAGTTTTGCTCCTGCCAGGGCTCTGTTGATTGCACTTTAAAGCAACAGAAGCTGAAAATAGTGGTTGATAGACTCTGAGTGTAGTTGTATAATATAGTGAACCACATCAAAAGTTAGTGAATGAATACATACAAATTTTAGTATAGATAGAATCACATTCTTTATGATTTTCTGCTTTAATAACTTTCTCAACTAACTGAGCAGTTCCTCTTCCTGAATGTAAGCAGGCTTGCAGCTCGTTTTACTGAATGTAAACAGGCTTGCAGCTCGTTTTACAACAGCAGTCACTTCATTAAATCCTGTGATTCAAATGGGTAGTTCTGCCGTGTCTTGTGCTGAGTTTTCAGCTCTTGAGTTAATGTGATTAATTGATCTCGTTTAGTTCCAGATGTTGAAGTGAAAGGAGAGTGTTCTGGCTATTATTTCTTGGTGCAAGGTAATGGCGATAAAAGATGTAAAGCGACTTTGATTTACTCAGCCAACCAGATCAATGGCTCGTTTGCACTCAGTTATATTCATGGGAAGATGAAAGCCAACATTGAAGAGACCAAACCAAGTAAGTGTTAACTTTAGGGAGGAAAAGTGTTTTTAGATTTGTTTGTATGTATAATTGGTGTGGTGTCAAGTGTGAGAAACATTAGACATTTAATGAACAAACTCCAGTTCCCCTCAGTAAATTACCTTTTATTTAAAATATATTTTAACACATTTTACAATCTCAGTGGTTGTTGTAAAGCGCCGTCATGTCTGTTCTGACTCATAGCGACCCTGTGTAGGGTTTCCGAGGATTTGAATCGTCCAGGGAGCAGAAAGCCTGGCAAACTGGAACTGTGAACCTTATGGTTCATAGTCCAGAGCTTATTGTGTGGAGTCACCGCGCTCCCACAATCGAGAATGCAAACATTTCATTCTTTTTATATTGTATTTACTAGGCCAGCCTATAGTTCCAAATAGGAAAATTTGGTATTTTCTCCTTTAAGTAATTTTTTTTTTCATTTATTTCTCATTCTTATTTATATTACCAGTATTAGAGTCCTGGTGTGGTACTGTGGGTTAGTGAGCCAGACTGCAAAGCCGTTTGAACTTCAAGGTTGGTGGTTTAAACTCACCAGCTGCTCCTCAGAAACCCTGTGCAGGGTCTCCATGGGTCGGAATTGACTCGACAACACTTAACAACAACAACAAACCTCTTATTATATTTAATTATTTATCTTAATTAATTATCTTTCTTTTCTCCTCAAATGCTTATGTTTTAGTCATCTGCTGCAATACATCAAACCTTCCCAAATGTAGTGATTTAAAACCACAATGCATTATTACAACTCTCGATCTTGTGGGTTGACTGAGCTCAGCTGGATGGTTCAATATTGAGGTCTCTCGGGTGATTGCAGTCAAATGGCGGCTGGGGCGCGTGCCATTTAAAATCTTAGCTGAGCTTGGTGTCCAAGATCTCTTCTTCTTTGTCAAACTGGTCCCTGGGCCAGCATGGCTGGGCTGAAGAGAGGGGCTTTCTCTCTTTACATGCCTGTTCCTCATAACTGACTGGGGATTCCTTACAACATGGTCTCTAGGTAGTCTGAGACTTCTTACAGGATAGCTACCTCCTGTTGGAACAGTTGTTTTAGGACACCAGGTGGAAGCTTAAGTCTGTCTCTGACCTAGCTTCAGGAGTCCTGTGGGCTCACTTTCTGGAAACCTTGCTGGGTCCCTAAATATGAGCACAGATGCAGAGGGGAAGGAACTACCCACGGACTAAATAGCAGGGAATGTGGTTCCCTGGAGGGGCTCTTTAGAGTCTATCTACTGCATCCTATCTGTGCTTTCTGAAGGAGTTTGAATAGCTGGGTGCTGAGAAAAATGGAGGAAATTCGACTCTGCTATTCATAGTCCCTTTATATAAAAAGCAGATCAAAGTTCAAAATACAACAACTAAGTGAATATATTTATTTGCTGCTGCTTATGATTATTTTATTTGGGAATATGTACTAGTTGTGGAGCTAAGTGATTGAATTCCTCCCCACCCCCTTACCCCCCCCCCCCAAAGTTTGCTTGTAGCCAATTTCCTGGAAACTGACTACTGAGACTTTACTATTAACTGTTTCTGCTTCGCAGGCTCTCCTTTTGACTTCTTGTCACTTCCGCATTTTTCTGGAGAACAGATTGTACAGAGAGAGAAACAATTAGCCAGTGTCCAAGCTTTGGCGTTGAAAGAATGCTTGAGTAAGTAACAATGTATGCGTGTTTCATCCCACTGAGAGGATGCTGACTTGTTCAGAAGTCAGACATCTTCATCTTCCATTAGGTTTATCGTATTTGTACAGTTATTCCTATGCCCTTTGTCTTTATAAAGTTTAGTACTCATTCAAGTCTATCTGCAGAGAGATGATGTAGAGTAAAAGAGATCTGTACTTTTTGTGTTTGGTTGCTCTAGATGCAGAGTACTCTTTTTTAAATTTGTATACTGGTCTTAATATTAGTAAAAATTTCTCCAAGCAAATTTTGAGCTTTATTGCTGTAGATTAGGTCTAGCTGGGCCTCTCCACTAACCAACTCTTTACAGATAAATTGTGGCAGTAGCTGGACAGAGACTGCAACTAGAGGAAAACTCTCAAGTTCAGAAATATCAATATATGAGGGGGCTTCAGAAAGTTCATGGAAAAGTTCTATCATTCTGTAATTGCATTGTACCATGGATTTTTTGAAGTGCTCTTATTTTAACTTGATCACTGATTTGGGAATTTAATCTCAATAACTAAGCACCCTCCACATACCGAGTAAAATGGGTGTAAGGGTTTTGCAAATTAGGAAATTAGCCTTTATTTCAAGAACCATGATTTAAGGTTTTCTTTTTAAATCTCTATCACTAAGTATGGGAAGAAAATTTTTTTGCTCTATTAAAATACAAGAGCCAGTGATACTCAGAGAGGAAATCCAAAGTGCATTGAAAGAAGTGGCAAAGAACAAGGCACCAGGAATTGATGGAATAAAAATTGAAATCTTTCAAGAAAGTGAGACAGCACAAGAGGCACTCACTTATCTCTCCCAAGAAATTTGGAAGACAACTAGCTGGCTGACTGATTGGACGAGATCAATATTTATGCCCATTCCAAAGAGAGGTGACCCAACAGAATGCGGAAATCATCAGACAATCTCTTTGATATCTCAAGCGAGTAAAATTTTGCTCAAGGTAATACAGAAACGGCTACAATCATACATTGACAGAGAACTTCCAGAGGTTCAAGCTGGATTCAGAAGAGTCCATGGAACGAGAGATATCATTGCTGATGTCCAATGGATCTTGGCTGAAAGCAGAGAATACCAGAAGCATGTTTACCTATGCTTTATTGACTACGCAAAGGCTTTCGATTGTATAGATCATCACAAGCTATGGACAACATTGAGAAGTATGAGTATTCCAGAACATTTCATTGTTCTTCTGAGAAATCTGTACCTAGACCAAGAAGCAGTTGTTCGAACAGAACATGGGAACACTGAATGTTTTAAAATTGGGAAAGGTGTGAGACAGGGTTGTATTCTTTCACCATACTTATTTAACCTGTATGCTGAGCAAATAATACGAGAAGCTGGGTTCTATGAAGAAAAACGTGGCATCAGGATAGGAAGAAGACTCATTAACAACCTGCGATATGCAGATGATACAACCTTGCTTGCTGAAAGTGAAGAGGACTTGAAACATTTACTTATGAAGATCAAAGAGCACAGCCTTCGGTATGGATTACATCTCAATGTCAAGAAAACAAGAATCCTCACCACTGGACCAATAAACAAAATTCTTATCAATGAAGAAAAGATTGAAGTTGTCAAGGACTTCATTCTTCTTGGATCAACACTCATGGAAGCAGCAGTCAAGAGATCAGATGACGTGTTGCATTGGGCAAATCTGCTGCACAGGAACTTTTTAAAGTATTGAAGAGCAGAGATATCAGCTTGAGGACTAAGGTGCGCCTGACCCAGGCTATTGTGTTTTCAGTAGCCTCATATGGATGCGAAAGCTGGACAGTGAATAAGGAAGATCGCAGAAGAATCGATGCCTTTGAGTAGTGGTGTTGGAGGAGAATACTGAAAGTGCCATGGACTGCCAAAAGAACTCTAATAGATCTGTTTTGGAAGAAGTGCAGCCAGAGTGCTCCTTGGAGGCCAAGATGGCTAAGCTTCGTCTCATACTTTGGACATATTGTCCGGAGGAAACAGTCGCTGGAGAAGGATGTCATGCTGGGTAAGGTGGAGGGTCAGAGAAAAAGAGGAAGACCCCTAACGATATGGATTGGCCAGGTGGCATCATTGATGGACTCAAGTGTGGCAGTGGTAGTGAGGTTGGCCCAGGATCGGACATTGTTTCGTTCTGCTGTGCATGGGGTCGCTATGAGTCGGTTCCTACTTGATGGCACCTGACAACAACAACAACATTAAAATATTATTTACCAATTTTATTTTTAAAAAAAGTTAAGCATTCATTGTTACCTAATATGAACTTAATTAATATAAAATTTCTAAATATTATATCGAATTTTAAGAACTTAATTAGCTGAGTAGAAAGTGTTATGGTGAATCACAGGGGAAAATGTTACTAGTTCAATTAGATGCACTATAAAATGCTATTATTGATTTTTTTTAAAGCATATAAAATTATTTTGAATTCAACAGCCTTTTGATTTAATAGAGCACATTTTATTTCATTCCAGCACATTTGGCTTTGTTATTAATGTAGGGATTTTCTACTTTGTAATTGTACAACGTTAGGGTACTTATGAAATCCTGTCTTAATTGTCTACGCTGCTGTAATAGACATATCACAAGTCAATGACTTTAACAAACAGAAATGTATATTCCCACAGTTAGGATGCTAGACATCTGAATACTGGGAGCTTCCTCTGGGGGAAGACTTCCTTTCTCCGTCATCTCTGAAGGAAAGTTCTTGTTCCTTGGAACTTCTGCTTTTCAGTGATCCTCATGTGACTTGACATCTCTCTTAAGTCTACTTGGGAATTCATTCTATGGAGTAGACAAAGCCAAGCAAAAACACCACTTAGATGGTAGACTAGGTAGACACATTACACCGGTTCTCTACAACAAAGATACGAGGCACCAAGTAAAACAGACATAGGTGAAAATTCTGACACCCTGATGTTCAGAAGAAAGGTTAGAGAGGTGGATGGAGCACATGCTGGGAGGAAAGGCCTAACAGGGACTGTGAGAGAGGGAGACTGACTGGTGAACAGCTGGCCAGCCGAGGCACCACCGTCCTATGAACAGCTTTGGCAGCAGAATGAGACCTGGTAGAGCAGATTCAAGCAGGCAACTGGAAAGGTGTGATTGCTTCTTTCTCCCCACGCTCCCCTGGTGACCAGAGGTGTGGCCAGCTCCCACTCTCAGTGCTGTGTTTGTTCCCCTGGAGTTGAGAGCCACGTGGTTGGGAGTCACATTCGTGTGAGGGCTGGCTGTGCCACTTTGGCACCTGGATTCAGGTGGGTCTGCTCCAGACCTAACAAACCTACCAGACAAGCATTTAACCAATCATCCTGCCCCCAGCTTCCCTGTGGTCCTAACTGATACTGAAACCAGATCCCTCAAGGATCCCCATGAACTACTGGATTGAATACTCTAAATATAGATAATACCAGACCAATAAAAACTCCATCTAGGGCCAGGAACTCTGCTGTCACATCCCTTCCACCATCACCTCATTAGCTCCTTGAATTGCAGGAGACCCCCTAGAGATTTCTCCTCTCTGGATCTATCCGCTGCACTGTTTGTTTTTATAAATATGACAACCTCGCAATACCCTGAGACGACAGACAATTTTAGCTCACACAAAGAAGCAAAAAAGAATGACTCAAACAATGACCAAGATGCAAAGACAGAAGACATTTCTGAGGACAAAGGTAATGGAACTAACAGAAAAAGAATTAGAAAGAATGATATTTTGATACCTTCAATGGATTGACAAAAAGATCAAGAAAAAAAAAAAAACTTTGGAAGAATACAGAAAAATGCTACAAGAACAAACAGACAACATGAGTGTAAAATTTGAAAACAGTACAAAACCTGCAATTAGAAATCCAGAAGATTGATTCTAAGATTTCAGGAAAGGACAAGACATTGAAAGGGCAAAGGAGAAGATTCAAAGCAATGGAAGCCTGAATTAGTGAACTTGAAGATAAATCTGTGAATACTAGTAAGCTAGAAGAATAGTCAGAAAAAAAGAATGAGAAAATCTGAAGAAAGCTTAAGATTTATATGGGACACCTTGAAGAGGAACAACTTATAATCGGTTGTAATTCTAGAACAGGAAGAGACAATAAGAAGTGCAGAGAAAATTGTTGAAGAGTTGTTGGAAGAAAACTTCCTAACATCATGAAAGATGAGAAAATAAGCACGCAAGAAGGTGAATCCCAAAAGGAAATCACCAAGATATGTCATAATCAAACTTTCTAAAATCAAAGACAAGGAAAGAATCCTGAGCTGCTAGGGAAAAATGAAAAGTTGCCTACAAAGGAGAACCAATAAGACTAAACTCTAATTTCTCAGCAGAAACCATGCAGGCAAGAAGACAATGGGATAGCATGTACAAAATTCTGAAAGAAAAAAAATTGCCAACCAAGAATCCTGTTCCCAGCAAAACTATTCCTCAAATATGTCAGCGAAATTAGAACATGTCCTGATAAATAAAAATTAAAGGGATCTATAACAAGCAGACAAACTTCACAAAAAAATGCTAAAGTGGATTCTTTGAACTGATAACCAACAACAGCAGACAATAACCTAAGGTTACCATACATGATAACACCGCTCAGAACTCAGTCCAGATATGTTGTTGTTAAGTGCCGTCTAGTCAGTACCGACCCGTAGCGACCCTCTTTAGGGTTTCCAAGGAGAAGCTGGTGAGCTTGAACTACCGACCTTGCAGTTCAAACGGTTTTGCAGTCTGGCACATTAACCCACATCACCACACCAAGACTCAGTCCAGATATAGAAGTATTTAAAGTAAAACAAGCCTACATGACTGAAAATAGGGAAACAGAGATATCAGTGTATGATGAAGTCAGCTACAAAGCAAAAAGAGGGAATATTAAAGATACAGAACTTCCAAATGGCAAGGAAGTCAAGTAGATTTCAAGATAAAACAGACCATTTTAAGGAGGAAAAAAAATTAATAAATTACAGGTTAACGTTAAAAAATGTAATAATAACACAGCTGCGCATCAAAATGAAAAAAGAGGAAAATCAGAAAGGTTTAGTAAACAGTAACACAGCAGAAATGAAAAGAAAACCCATAAACGAAATGAACTCAGCATAGAAGATTATGTGAAAATAAGCATCCAGCAGCAACCCCCCACACACAAAACACATACAGAAAAATGACAGCAATCAATTCCTACCTATTGATAATTACACTGAATGTAAATGAATCAAGTGTACCAGTTAAGAGACATAGAGAGCAGAATGGATCAGAAAATAGGCTTTCAATACGTTTTGTACATGACCCATTTAAAAAAGATGGAGACAGCCTAGAGACAGCCCATCAATGGAAGAATGGTTAAACAAACGTTAGTACATACAAGCAATGAAGTCCTGCAAAGCATTGAAGAATAATGATGAATCTGTGAAACACCTCACGGCGTGGTTGAACCTGGAGCATGTGCTGAGTAAAATTAGTAAATCACAAAAGGATAACTATTGTATGAGACCAATGTTAGAAAAAGTTATAACAAAACAAAACAGTTTTCTTGATAAAAAGAAATAATTTATGATAGTTATGGAGGTGTGGGGGAGGTATTCATAGACTAGATGGTAGACACAGGTTAACATGGGGGCCAGGATAGGCAATATACATCAAGCGGGAGGTCATCAGAAGAAAGATGAAGTTAGGGGCAGACACAAGGACCAATTCAATAGTTATAATGAATAGAGGTAAGTTAACTTTTGGTGCATGGAGGGGATTGCAACCATGTAATGAAGCAAAATTGCTGATTTATTGAATGTCAAATTGATGATCTCATCTGTAACCTTCACTCAATTCACAGTAAAAAGTTGAAAGAAAAAAAATCAAAATACTAAATAAAATTGTTGACCAATGTCACTCATGAGTATAAAAATAAAAATTCTCAGCACAATCCTTGCTAATAGAACCCAACCCCATACCAAAAAAATAATAAAAATACATCACGATCAAGTGGGATTTCTATCAGTATGCAAGGGTGGAGAAAATCAGTGTGACCTACCACATAAATAAAGGAACCACATGATCATATCTGTAGATACAGAAAAGACATTTGATAAAATCCAATTCTCTTTCCTAATCAAAACTCAGCAAAACAGCAATAAAAGTGAAATTCCTAAACATAATTAAAGACATATCTTGAGTACCAGTTGTTGTTAAGTTGCCGTCGAGTCAGTTCTGACCCATAGCGACCCTGTAACAGTGTTTCTGAGGCTGTAAATCTTTATGGGAGCAGAAAGCCTCATCTTTCTCCTGCAGAGCAGCTGGTAGTTTTGAACTGCTGACCTTAAAGTTCACAGCCTGATTCATAACCACTACGCTATCAGAGCTGTGGTAGTGTAGTGAGTACCAGTAGCCATCCTTAGTCTCAGTGGGGAGAGACTGAAAGTATTCCCCTTGAGAATAAGAACCAGAAGAATGCCCTTTATCACTTCTCTTATTCAGTATTGTACTGAATCCCACAGATTCTTCTAAAAAGTTACTAGAATTAATAAGATTCAATGAAGTGGCAGGGTACAAGATCAACATATAAAAATTAGATTTCTTTACACTAACGAAGAGAACTATGATAAGGAAATCAGTAGCCACCACAAAGATGAAATACTTAGGGATAAACCTAACCAGGGTATGTATTGTAAAAAATAAAATCGACCTTCATAAATGGAAGAACATACCATGCTCATGGATAGGAAGACTTACCATTGTGGAAGTGTCAGTACCAACCAAAGCAATCTACAGATAATGCATTCTGGATCCAGATTCTGTTAACATTCTTGAAAGATATGCAGAAACATTACCAACTTCATGCAGATAGACAAGAGACTTCTAGATAACCCAAGCACTGCTGAAGAAAAATCAAGGAGGCCTCACTCTTCCTGATCTCAGAACCTTCTGTAACCACAGTGGTGAAAACAGACTGGTATTACAAGTACATAGAGTAATGAAAGAGAATTGAGAACTCAAACGTAAATTCATCCACCTATGGACAACTGATATTTAAACAGAGAATCAAGATCCTTAAATGAGGAAGAAATAGTGTCTTTAACAAATAATGATGTTAATGTCTTGATTTGTCAGCTTCAGACATTACCTTAACTTTCCACTGTAGATGATAAGGAATCGACTTTCCCACATCATCTTTACTTTCCCTTCCCACCCCTTACTGTAAATTCTTAAATTTTAATTTAATCAGTGGTTAGTTTTTACAGAGGTGAAAATAAATTGGCTTTTTAGACTCATGGCCTGAATACAACCTTGTTGTTTAATGCCATCAAGTTGGTTCTGACTCATAGAGTCAGAATGGTTGACTTCTTTGAAGATTGGTTGGTTTCTTTGAACAACTGACTTTGTGGTTAGCAATCCAGTGCTTATTGTACACCATAACACTAGGAGTCCAAATATAACCTAGCTCAGATAAGAGACAGAGAGGAGGGGCTGATAAACACAGGCCTTGCTCCTGCTGCAGACTAACGCAGTGAGTTTGGGGATTGAGGGAGCTTTAAGTGTTATAGAAGTCACTGTGTTTGCACATGTGAAAATAAGGTCCCGGGTAGTAAAGATCCCCCACACAATGACTCCTGCTGTGGTGCTACCAGATAAGCTCTGGACTACAAACCATACGGTGTGAGGTTCAAACCCACCAGCTGCTCCTTGGAAACCCTGTACAGGATGGCTGTGAGTCTGAATAGACTCAGTGGCACTTGACAAAAACACTCTTCCAATAGCTTTCTTTAAATATCCAGTGATTCTTTGTCTGTTCTATTTTGAATTACAAGTTTTATGTGGCCAAACCTTATTTATTACCTTTGTTGTAGGGTGGTGGGGTGACAGTTCCAACGTGTCTGATTGTGAGGTTCCTAGGGACCATCTGAACTTTTAGTATGTGGTAGTGGTGGTGGTGTGCTGTGGAGTTGATTCCCACTCATAGTGACCCTGCTTGGGGTTTCCGAGGTTGTAAATCTTTATGAGAGCATAAAGCCTCATCTTTCTCCCACAGAACACTTGGTGCTTTCAAACTGCTGAACTTGAGGTTAGCAGCCTGACTCGTAACCACTGCAGTACTAGAACTTTTTGTTTATTTCTTTAGTTTTAATCTCTGCCTCCCCAGCTTTCCTTTGTACTTGATGTTTCAGAGTCTCCACTTTGAATATCACCCAGAAAGAGAGCGGAGTTTCCAGGCTGGGGTGGGGTGGGGAACGCAGGCCTGCTTTAGCCTCACAGCACTGTCCTACTGCCTTGTAGATCACTCCTTCCCTCAGCACTAGTCCACTCTGGTCTGACCCCACACTCCGGTTCAGCTGCCATCGTCTTTCTATCTTACAGAACTCTGTTCTCTTTTCATGTCCTTGTATTTCCCTTTACTAAAAGGAGCTCTGGTAGCATAATGGTTACGAATCAGGCTGCGAACCTTAAGGTCAGCGGTTCGAAACTACCAGCCGCTCCACGGGAGAAAGATGAGGCTTTCTACTCCCGTAAAGATTTACACCCTCGGAAACCCTGTACAGGGTCGCAACCGACTCAACGGCACTTAACAACAACAACAATGATTTTAGATTTGGGGAAGAATAAATGAGTGGAAATGGCTAAGCTGCCAATTTATTTTACTGAGAAGTCTCGACAGGTTTTATTTTTCCCATAAACCCCTTCTAGAAGGCCAGTTGTAATGTACCACGTTATATATTTCAAAACTTTTATAAGCTCAGCATTACTGCTTTTCAACTTTTTGATGTTAACAAATTACTTAGTATCTGTTTATCTCACATAAATGGAAATTCTGCCATTAACCTGTAAATGGAATTAAGATGAAAGTAGGCCTACACAGAAATGTTAATTTGCTGGAGAAATTCACTTGTTTCACGTTTGAAAAAATTATTTCCCATAAAAGAGTTGTAGATGAGCTCTAGCAAGATTTAAAACAACAGTCGTATGGTTAAATTGTATTGATTTTGTTGTCTTACAGAAAGGAAAAAGTTGGCAGAGAAGCCTGAAGCAGTTTCTATTGGTGAGCTCAAAACTTTGTTAGTAATCACAAGGGACCTCTTTTTAGATCCGTTTAATGCTATTATTCCTAAGACGACTCATATAAAGACCGACCAAAACATCGCCAATATGTTAAATGGTAAGTTGTTGGTTGTTTTTTTGTTTTGTTTTGTTTTTACAACTTTTAAGGTTTTTTTTGATATGTGATGTCTATAAATTGTATTATCCAAATGAAAATATATTTTATAATATAGAGTAATGGTATTTATTTTTATATACAATTGTATCTGCACACCCACTTCTCACTGATCATCAAGGTCAAGTTCCAAAGACCAGGTCATTTCTACAGAAACCAATATTCTGTGAGAATGGAGATGACAACATCAGATCACAGAATGAAGGGTGACTAACTACATCATTGCAGAACTGCCAAGCCAGTAAGAATCGTGGCCCAACTGAGTTGACACATAACTTAAACCCTCACAGCCAGCATTACTCTCGCCTCAGACCTCGGCATTCATTACTCCCAGACATATGTCAGTAATGTGCAAAACTGTTGGAGAATAGATTGTTTACTGTGATTGTGAATGTGAAATGTCAGATAATAAGATACTGGATAAGTAAGGAGTTGTTGTTGTTGTTAAGTGCCGTCGAGTCAGTCCTGACTCATAGCGACCCTGTTATAGGGTTTACAAGGAGTGGCTGGTGAGCTTCAGCTGCTGACTTGCAGTTCAAACTGACCTTGCTGTCCAACACCACCCCAGGACTCTCAAGTAAGGAGTTAGGTGTACAGATAATGAGCTGAATTTCTCATCTTGTGAACATTCTGTTACCTTATTTTATTAAGTGTATCCAGTGTAATTGTTTTTGAGCAGAGAGAAAGAGAATTTTTAAGTGATCCCTCTCTTGAACTGCTCCTTCTAAGTTGCCAATGTTAGTGAATATTCTACTCAGCTTTGTTTTCATAAAATGGGAAAAGTAGCATCTGCACAGTAAACACGATAGCTCAAACTGTTCCGCCGTATTTCTCCTTCGTTGTGGCGGGGGCAGTCACCAAACTTCACTGGGGTAACAGGACTGGTTTTTATATGGACTTGCATTTTTTCTAAATTTCGTGGTTTCTTGTGCTGTGATGAATTTTGAATAGAGTGAAGCTTTTTCACATCTTAAGATAAATTCCAGAACTGCCTGACACATTTTCAAATGTCTAGAATACTTTCTCATCTGAATTCAGTGAGCATCCTTTTTCATTCCAGGTACATGAGACCATGAGACCATGACCGTAGAATAAAGTTTGTGGGGATATTAATTGAGTGCCTTTTCTGTGTTTGGCCTTTTATTCATTTAGAACTGATTTCACTTTAAATAGCAAATTGTGCTTCAACATGAGCTCTGTTGTTGTTAAGTGCCTTCAACTCAGTTCCAACTCATAGTGACCTGGTATAGGATTTCCAAAGCTATAAAATCTTTGTGGGAGCAGAAAGCCTTATCTTTCTCTCGATGAGCGGCTGGTGAGCTCAAACTGCTGACCTTGTGCTTCATAGTTGGGTGCTTATCCTGTAGAGCCAGTCTACTCCATCTTTGTATTACCTAGCAAAATTCAGCATGTTAATGCTTTTCAGGACTTCGGTGTATTTTGTCTCATTAGATGCAACCCCAATGGAACCTGATTCTTTACATCTAAAGGAAACCAATCCTCTGGAATGGCCAGAAAGGCATGTTCTTCAGAACTTGGAAACTTTTGAAAAAGCTAAACAAAAACTGAGGTAATGTTTGAACTCACTGTAACGCATCTTACAGTCCAGTATTTTTAAATGAGCTTTTCTTAGCCCTTAAACTGTTTTTATGAGCTATTGCAATAAGCTTACAGTCTTAGTATAACTGGGATATATGCTGACTGTTTCTAGATGCGTCCATTGAGCCTCCAGTTCTATCAGTTGTAAAGGTCTGTCAGTTATAAGGCGATGCTTTTCTTCTTGCCCTGCTCTCCTCCTAGCCAGGAATAATCACGGTTAACTTTCTGTTTGTAGCTTCTGAGATCATCTTCCATAGATATGCACAAGTGTACGAGTTTACTAAAAAACCAAAAACACTAAAATGAAGCAAAGACGGTCCTTCCCTTTTGATAAGGGTCCTTGCAGACCATCATACAAAGTTTGGGTTTTTCTTTATGTATTTGGTTAAGGTAAGGAAAGATTTTGTACCAAAAATTGATGGGAAACAAGAGGAAGAGGTTAGGAGCAGAGCGATTATTTGGGGGCTTTCTTCTGTAGGTGAAAAGAAAGGTGACTGTAATCTTAATTAAAGTTGTTGTTAAGTGCCATCAAGTCGGTTCCAACTCATAGGCTTTGTGGGAACAGAAAGCCTCATCTTTCTCCTGCAGAGTGACTGGTGGGCTCCAACCGCAGACCTTGTGGTTTGCAGTCCAGTGCTTGTCCTGTGAAGCTACTGTGCTCCCAAGTAGTGTAGTTGTTGTTGTTGTTAAGTGCCGTCAAGTCCTCTGGACTCACGATGACCCTGTACGGGGTTTCTGAGGAGCAGCTGGTAAATTTAAACTGCCGAGCTTGAAGTTCAAACCGCCCTTGTGGTCCAGTGCATTATCCCACAGCGCAACTCTGACAGGCAGAAATTTGTGATGGATTCTACAGGAGCTTGAGAACACTTCATATCATGTGGAGGAGAGAAGAAGAGCATCAGAGATTCCGTTTCTGGCTTTAACAATACAGTGGATGATATTCTCATTTATATTATGGGGAAGACTGGTAGGAAGTTGGGAACGGTGAGTTTCAGGGAGAAACCCCAAAGTTCTGCTTTGGGCATGTTTAAGTTTGGTCTATATGAATTCTCCAAGTGGAGACACCAGGTGACCTGGAGGAGAGATCTGGAAGTTAGTCTCAAGTTATCGTTAAAAGAGATTTTAAAAACAAGACAGTGGATGAGATCACTCATTGAGGCTTCAGAGAGAAAAAAGGGCTTGTTGTGGTCCTTCCTTGGGGATCATTGATGTTTTCAGAAAGAAGAGTGAGAAAAAGCACAGGTTACCCACTAAAGTACCTCATTTAGAAGATATTAGCTAACTTCCTATGGGTGCTAACTGGCACCCATGTCTCTCTACTTTTTATCATCCCTCTTCTCAGAACCTTGTTATTTGCAATAGACAAATCTTTTTTCTAAAAGTCACCTTCTCCCTGCTCCCCCCCCCGCACCTCTTTGACTTCCTACTTTAATTTGGATTGATCCTTTGTATCCCATCTATATAGCTGTTATCCTGGGATTTCCTTTGATCACATTTCTAGGTTAGGCCTGTATTTTCTCAAATCCCATGTCTTAATAAGAATCTGAGAGCCTGGAGACTAGCAGCTCCCAGGCCCATAGAGGAGGAAGGGGCCCCAGCGTATGTTGTCAGTCCTGGGCCCTGAGGTACCCTTCGTCCTCTTCCTGTCGTAGGATGTGTCCCTCCAGAGTGCTTCAGTAGAGGGGAGCAACAGCAACCTCCACTGCCCCCACCTCTTGCTGGACCCCACCACCACTCTCTCGCCCTTTGCCTCCTTCACGGTCTACCTCAGTCACCTCTTTCACACAAAGAGCTGGAATGGTGACTCACAGTGGGGGTGAGACAGCCTTCTGGAGAGCTGGCTACTTCAGCTGGGAGCCCAACAATAGAATGCTTGAATAGTAGACTTTTCTCTATTGTCATAAATATGAAATGTCAGATTACAAGATAGTCGGTAAGTGAGAAGTAGGTAGGTATACTTGTCTGTTCTCACTCTGTCTTCTACTTTTTCCCTTTTAGCTCATCTTTATACATTATTTTATGAACAAGGGTTATGGGTCTACACATGATCATCTTTTCATAAACTGCCAACTCTTTTTAGCGTAAATAGGCGAATGCTCAATAAATACTTGTGGATACCTCAAAAGATAGGTGATGCCATTAGATTGATGTTTTGGGGTAAAAAATATGGCATATTTTCATAATATGTTTTGTGCTGAAGCAAGTATAGCTGCAGAATAAAGGGCCATTATATAGTGAAACTGAGAAGTCTTTTAAGATTTTGGTTTTAAACAAACTCAGTTATCTGATTGGCTTTTTTGTCTCATCTTTGAGATGAGATCCCAATTATATTCCAGGTATCGAAAACTTAATGAGATAAGGCATGACAGATAGTTTGTAAGGTTGCAAACACTGAAATGAATAAGGTAGTAACCAGTGCTGTGGCTTTTTTTTTTTTTTTTATGTTTTTTTTTTTAACCTAAGTCATATCTTTATAATCACAAACTGGGTTTTAAATTGCTTTGATATTCTTGTGTCCAAGGTCTATATAAATGCAAATTGTGTATTTCCCTATTGCATCCAGCTTGTAAAATGATTGAGAGTAATATTCATTAAGAAACCTTGGGTAAGTCACTACTGCAGTTAGCTATATAGAAATTAAATTGAACTCATAATGTAGTTCTTGCCCTTCTAGCGTATAAAATTCAGAGAAAATATTTAATTGTTTTCTTGTTTGACTATTTTTATTAGGTTTTCACTTTCAATTTTTAAAAAAAGAAAAGGAGAAAAGGGCACTGCCGCTATATTAATGTACAGAAATCTTACCCTCAAATCCTACTGGCAACATTTTAGTCATGTAGTTATCCATGGCTCTTGCACCAGACTGCAAAGCCGTTTGAGCTGCAAGGTTGGCGGTCCAGGCGCACCAGCTGCTTCTTAGAAACCCTACACAGGGTCGCTATGGGTTGGAGCCAACTTGATGGCACTTAACAACAACAACAACTTTGCACAAGCCTCACAGTCATTGAGTTGGTTGCCCGTTGTTGCAGCCACTTTGTCATTCCAGGTGCTGGAGGGTCTTTCTCTCCGCTGGCCTTCCACTTGGCCAAGCATGATGTCCTTTTCCAAGGACTGATCCCTCTCCAGACGATGTGTGAAAGTCGATGAGAAGAGGTTTCGCCATCCTCACTTCTCAGCAGGATTCTGTCTGCACTTTTTCCAAGACAGATTTGTTCAGTCTTCTGCCAGGCCCTGGTATAGCCCGTATTTGTCGCCAATACCATATTCAAAGGTATCAGTCTTTCTCAGAGCTTTCAGATAGATACTTTGTTCAGTTTTCACATGCATATGAGGCAGTTGAAAATACAATTGCTTAGGTCAGGCAAACCTTAGCCCTCAAAGTGATATCTTTGCTTGTTAGCATTGACAGAGGGCTTTTGCAGCAGGTTTGACGAATGCAAGATGAAATTTGATTTCTTGTCTACTGTTTCCATGAGGGTTGATTGTGGATCTACCTAAAAGGAAACCCTTAACAACTTCATTCTTTTAAAATTCATCCTGATGTTCCTTATTGAGCTGGTTGTGAGGAATTTTGTTTTCTTTATGTGGAAGATGTAGAAGTGTAATCCATACTGAAGATTGTAGACTTTGATCTTCAACAATAAATGCTTTGGGTCCTCTTCACTTTCAGTAAGCAGGGTTGTGTCATCATTATTTCGCAGGTTGTTAATGAGTCTTCTTTTAATTCTGATGCTATGATCTTCTTCAGAGTTCAGATTCTTAGATTATTTGTTCATTGTGCAGATTGACTAAGTATGGTGAAAGGCTACAACCCTGGCATGCTCTTTTCAGTATTTTGAATCACACAGTAGCCCCTTCTGTTAGTTTGACTGACTGCCTCTTACTCTGTTTTCATGTTCCTCATGAGCACTACTGGAATTTCCATAATTTATTATGACTCACATGGTCTAGTGTCTTAATCCAGTAAGCATCTTTTTGGTATTCTCTGCTTTCAGCCAAGATCCATCTGATGTAAGCAGTGATATCTCTCATTCCATATCCTCTTCTGAATCAGGCTTGAATTTCTGGCAGTTCCTTGTTGAGGTACGCTGTGACTCTTTTTGAATTATCTTCAGCAAAATTTTACTTGTGATATTAATGATGTTGGATAATTTTGCTCTCTGTTGTATCACCTATTTTGGGAATGGACACAGATATGGATCTCTTCTAGTAGGTTGGCATAGATGATTGAGTGATTCCGGTGTTACAGTCAGGTGTTGACACATGTAATTGATGGTTCGTTAATTTCTAGAACCGTGTTTTTCACCAATGCCTTCAGTGTAGCTTGCAGTTCTTCCTTTAATATCATCTGTTGTTGATTGTGTGCTGCCTTCTGAAATGGTTTAATGTTGACCAGTTCCTTTTGCTTCGGTGACTATATTCCTTCCGTTTTCTTTTCATGCTTCTGGTTTCTTTTAATATTTTGTTCATAGGGTCCTTCAGTATTGCAACTTGAGGCTTGAAATTTTTCTTTAGATCTCTCTAAGCTTCAAAACTACTGAGTGAGCGCATATTTCCTTTTGCTTCTTTAACGCCTGTGTCTTTGCGTGGTTTATTATAATACTTTACTTTGTATTCTTCAGCTGCCTTTTGAATTCTTTCAGTTGGTTCTTTTACACAATTATTTCTTCTGTTTGCTTTACAATAAATTTCAGAGTCTCTTCTGACATCCTTTAGGTCTTTTTTTTCTTTCCTTTTGCTTGCTTCATGTATGCTGTCCTTGATGTCATCCCATAACTCATCTGGGCTTTGGCCATTAGTATTCACTATCTCATAGCTATTCGTGAGATGGTGAGGTATACTCAGGGTTGTATTTTGGCTCTCATAGATTTGTTTTAATTTTCTTCAGCTTTTACTTAAGCTTCTTGTCGTTATGTGTCATCGAGTCAGTTCCAAATCACAGCGACACTGACTAGGGTTTCAATAGCAGCTGGTAGGTTTGAACTGTCGACCTTACGGTTACCAGTTCAAAGCTTATCCTATCGTGCCTCACTGGGGCTTAACTTACACTTGGATATAAGCCATTGATGATCTGTTGGCAGTCGGCACCTGACCTTATTCTGACTAATGACATTGAGCTTCTTGTTGGTGTCTTTTCTCAGATAGAGTCTGTTTTATTCCTACATATTAGATCTAGCAAGGTCAACATGTACTATCACCACTGATGTGTTAAAAAAAGGTATCTTCAGTGAATAGGTTGTTAGCCTTGTAGAATTCTATCATGTGAGCTCTCCAGTGTGTCTAACACGGTCCATATTTTCTATCAATCCTTCTTTGTTTCCAGCTTCTGCATTCCAATCACTGATAATTATCTATTCATCTTGATTGCATGTTTGATCAATTTCAGACTACAAAACTTGGCAAAAATCTTCAGCTTCTTCATTTATGGTAATAGTGGTTGGAACATAAATTTAAATAATACTCGTATTGACTGGTCTTCCTTATATGGGTTACTGATGGCATTGTACTTCATAATAGATCTTGAAATGTTCTTTTTTTAAATGAATGGTGGTTATCAGTGCTGGTGGTAATGCTGGTGGTTGTCAATTTGTCATTGCCGGTAGAGTAGACCATATAAGTGTCTGATTTCAAATGGCCAATTCCAGTTTGTTTCAGCTCACTAATACCTAAGAGACCTATCTTCAAGCATTCCATTTGATTTTTTACAATTGCCAATTTTCATGAAATCACACTTTGTACGTTCCATGTTCTGGTTATTAATGGGTGCTGGTAGCTATTTCTTTTCATTTTGAGTCATGCCTCATCCGCAAATGAAGGTCTGGAGCAGTTGGTTCCGTCCACATCTTCAATGTGGACTCTGTTTTCATGACACAGCTCTTCCTCAGATGGATTTTCAGCGTCTTCCAGCACCATTTCATGCAAGGCCCTGGTGCAATTCAGAAGGCTTTCACTGGTCAGTTTTTTCTGGTGATCACTGGGTCCTTCCTAGTCGTTCGTTGTCTGGAAACTCCATTGCAAACTGTTCATTATGGGTGATTCTGCTGGTAGTTGAAATTGATGGTATAGCTTCCGGCATCATGCAACATACAAGTTACCAAAATACAACAAACTGACAAACAAATGATGGAATAATAAAATAATCAGAAAATAATTGTAATTAATATTAAGTCAGGAATTCAACTCATTTTCTGTGCTGTAGAGAAAGGTTTTATGTTATGCCATGTTAATTAACAATGTGTGATAAAACTAACCTTGAAACGATAGGATTTTCTCCCTTCCAGTTTTTGAAATTTTTTGAGTGCCTGTTGGTTTATAGGCTGGTAGAATGTCCATGGCACCTAATTTGGAATCAGAAAATGTAGATTCTAGTTCTGTTATGTAAAATAGCCGTGTCATTCTAGGCCTGTAATGTAACTTTTTTTATATTAATTTTTATCTGGTAAATAGGATTAATTATATATTAATGTCTTTATATTTCTTTTGTGGGGGTAGGTATTCCAATTTTCACTTATATGTTACTTCATTTTAAGATAAACCCTTCCTTTAGCAAGGATGTTTGTGAAGATTCAGCAGCAGCACATTGTATATATAACTAGTTATACAGGCACCAGATACTACATATATACGTCGAGTATTACAGTGATGGCTCAGTGCTTACTTATATGTCATCATCAATGCTAGAAGGGACTGTAGGCGCATTCCTGATTATTATCTCATTTCATGGTTGTGCTTCACCTAATCTTTCAAATTTATAGAAAACTGGACACTGAGTACCTCTCCACAACTATTTATCATATCGTGGGGTATCAAAATATAAGAGTGTTCAGATTAAATTTTATGGAATTGATAATTTCAAGATTACTGAATAATTCATCATCCTGTCATTTATAAAGAATATCTACATTTTTATTTGCATGGTCATATATTGACATGTTAACTACAGATTTTACAGTGACTTACTGATTAAAAAAAATTGATACTAAATGATTTATGGTGCTTTTACTTTGTTTTTTGTTTTTTGTTTTAACTGAAATGCGTAGTTTCAGTTGTCTTTGGTATTTTCTTAGTTTCTGCTCACCTTGTCTTGTCTTGATTTTGGTGAACCCAAATCCTCCCTTAATAACCATCAACATCATTCTCACAGAACTGGTTCTTTACCTCGATCTTCTGAACAGCTGCTGGGTCACAAAGAGGGTCCACGGGACTCGATAACGTTATTGGACGCTAAAGAGCTGCTTAAACATTTTACTTCCGATGGATTACCAGTTGGAGATCTCCAACCTTTACAAGTTCAAAAGGGGTAAGTAATAAATTTTTATTTGCACTTATTTCTTGTAGTAGTTATTTAAAGTTAGTGTTGTGTCTCATTTTCCTTTTAATTGATGCCCAGTGCTTAGGCAGAAATTGTGTTTGATCTCAGTAGTTATCACTTGGTGTCAGTCCTCATGTTTAACCGCAGCTAGATACTCTACAGTTTGGGGTATTCTGTGCAAAGCAGGAAAATTATAGGCAACCTCAGCATATATCCTACTGACGTCAATAACGTCATTGTTTTGTGTACTGCCGATGGGCCTTTAGGCTGTCTCCATCTTCTTGCTACTGTGAAGATGGATGTGCACATACCTAGTCATGTCACTGCCCTTATGTCTTGAGGATGTGTACCAAGTAGGCATTGCGCTCATGTAAGAATCAAATTGACGACAGCAACTCACAAGATTAGTGGGGAACCGTAGGAGGCAGTGAGTTTATGTTAGCGGTAAAATAACTCAGAGATGAGGGTGAGAGCGATGTCACAGCATGGAGAACATCATCAGGGTTGCTCCGCTGTACATGGAAACGTTGTTGTGCGTATTCTCAACTACAACAGCAACAATAAATATGTGAATAGTGATAAAACGTGGTGCCTTTATTTGTGCTTGCGTACTAGATAGAGACAGAGGGAGCCACCTTGGAAACTGAAAGATCTTAATGATTCCAGGGATCTAACAGTAAACAAAATTGGAACATTATTATTTTTGGTATGAATTAGTGCTTTATTCTTAAACTTTAAAAGATTCCGAAATTTGCGGGTAACTGTTTTCCTCATAGCTTTGAGAAATTGTTAACTTTTCTTATGACAAACAAAACTGAAGAGCTAGAGAGAATCCCTGACTTTCTACGTAATCAGATTGCAAAGAGCCATAATTCAGACTGCCCATTTTTGTTGTGTTTTCAACATCTCATTGTTAGTAATATGTACTTTGTACAATATTGCATTGTGTGTCTCTATGTATATGTGTAATGTTTCCAGACCCCGAAGAAATATACTGAGAATAAAAGGCAACAATAATAAAACCTAATATAAACATTTTTTTAATGAGCTATTTGACTTACCTCAGCTGAGTAGTCTCCAGGATGGAAGCTAGTTGTTAAATTGGGACTACCTGTATCCACATTTTACCTGTTTAATTACTGAGTGATTGTCCTCTCTGGGTATTACGTATGCACCGGCAGAGTCAAAGGAGCTTGCTGCAGTAGAATTATAAAGTGTGGGTGCTTTTTGTCTAGCACGTCTGTCTAGATGAAGTGCAGTGGAAATATATTTAGTTCTTTCTGTAATTCATAAGTGATTTTATTTAATTCTTTCTGTCGTTTATAAGTGATTTTATTTAGGAACATTTGGTATAATTCTTTGATATTAATAAAGAAGTACCTCTTGATCAAATATATCCTTACAGTTCCATGGCATTGAATCAAGAATGTAGGGACTAGTAGTAAATGTCTGCATTTGCAAGGAGCCATCTAGAAAGCTATATTACAGTGCGAGCATGACTCCTGTATACATACTGAAGAAATGCTGACCATTGATAGAGCACAGACTTGCTAACGTTCTTCTTCTAGAAAGAAGAAGGTGTGAATGAAACTAAAGACAAGTAAGTAAAGTGTCTAAGAGGGGTCAGAGATTCCTAAAGAGTTCTGTATTGTAGATTTATTCACTTTATAACAGTCATCAAAATATTGGGGTCATTGCAGTTTATCGATGTTACTCTTGATAGACACATTAAGTGGATATAGCAAAATATACGTGTTGTTTTCCCACGTACGTTAACTAGCATATCTTATGTTTTAATTTAATAATTCCATACGCTTATCGTAGCCTGCTAGACAATTTTCAGTGCCAAATGGACAGTTTTCATTCTTCAGGCTGTAGGCAAAAAATATGATAGCAAATTTATCCTTGGTTCTATGTGACTTTTTTATTTCTTCTCAACTCAAGCTCTTGATACTTCTACTTGTGAGCTATGTAAGGGGCTTTGGTGGTGCAGTAGGTTAAGCACTGGAGTGTAAAATGACTGGTGGGCAGTTTGAACCCAGCAGCTGCTCTGCTGCTGCAACAGTTTATAGTCCCAGAAATCCTATTGAGCAGTTCTGCTCTGCCCATAGGATCGCACAGTTAGAATCGACTTGCAGACAATGGTTCTCAACTCCGTAAAGACTGCTCATTTTGTAATTCTTCCATTACCTCCTAGCCTGCTTGGAGTTTTAGTACTACAACCTACTACACTGGAACAGGGTAGAGAAGGAAGGCATTATTATCTGAAGAACCCAGAGAGCTGCATCTAAATGCACTGACTTCCCCTAGCCCAAGATTTGGATGGAATCCTGCAGGTCGGGTGGAAGGGTTAAGCGTAAATGTTATGACATGCTCCCATCTGATCGTTTGCATGTCTCTGCTGGATGGCAGTGTAGTGCCACAGCAGAACTACAGTTACACCTCTGATCTTCCTACGACTGTCGTCGCTTAAGAGGTGTCAGGAAAACTGCAGTCTAGTAGGAAGTAAATACTTCGTTTTATAACCAAAGATTCAAGTTGCCTTTAATTATGCCTTTGTGAAAAATAAAAGATTTAACTAAATGCATAAACACTAGCTCACGCTACCAAAGGGGAGAAAACCCTTCAGGAAAAATGCTGCTACTAGAATTTCTATTACAAGTGATTTTTGTTGTTGATTTATCCACATCTCAAAGTAAGTCGTGTGCAATAATTAGCATCATAACTTCAGGAGCTTGAAGCACAGGCAATGTAAGGAACAGAGCCTCAGGCCTAACTTTGCTTCATTTCCTTCTTAGACTGTTTGGGAACTTATCCTCTTTCCCTTCTAAGATGTAGTTATAGAAGAGGATGTCAGATTTGCTTCTTTTGACACTTTTTTGCAATTTCTCTTTGACTCTAAATGACAGTTAACTACCAAGGGTTCCTTTTTGTTTCAGGGAAAAGACATTTGTTCTGACACCTGAACTGAGTCCTGGGAAACTGCAAGTCTTACCTTTTGAAAAAGCCTCAGTGTGCCATTATCATGGAATTGAGTGAGTTTCTGTTTTCTCTGAACTTTTCAGTGTGTTTTCCTTGTAGCTTCTCATGTGAGTGTGAAGGGTAACTGTAATAAAACAGTGGAAGTTCAGATATAGACCAAAGAGAACATATGTCAACAGACAGCAATGCACATACAAATAATGTCGTCTGTGAGAAAAAGTGGGAGTCCTGGTGTGGCGCTGTGGGCTAATGTGTCAGACTGCAGAGTCGTTTGAACTGCAAGGTTGGTGGTTCAAGCTCACCATCAGCTCTTTGGAAACCGTGTACAGGGTCGCTATGCGACGGAATTGACTTGACAGCATTTAACAACAACAACAAATAAGAAAAAGTCAGTTGGAGATTGATCAGCTTTAATTGCCTTTCCATGTCTTATTATTAGGTATCAGCTACTTTAGTCAAAGTTATCTTTGTCCTTATGTTATAAATGTATATTAACACTGTGGGGTCATTAATGTCTTCTGGTCACTAAAACTCCATTGTAATTGCTCAGAAACTAAATTAGATAAATGTTATTCTTATTTGTAGCATGTGTAATTTTTATGGAATTTTAATTGACTACTTAGAAAAGTATTTCAGAGGATTCTCTTTTACTTAAAGGTATTAAGTTGTTTCTGGGGTCATGTGCATCAACCATGTACTTGGATTATTCATTTTGTAAGATGTTTAACATTATCAAGTAAAATATGATATTTATTTCGATTTTGCTTAAATGAAATAGAAGGGAATTGACTTTACCTTTATCTTTCAAAAGCAACTTTTAAATCTGTCTGTAAACAACTGAAACTTTCTGTTTTGACTGGCTTTTAAACTTAATTTTTATTTTGTACAGACTTTACGGTTTTCATTCAGGAGCTAAAAACACAGAGGACTGATTACCAGACAATTATTTCTTCCTATAAAAGGCATGAGGAGAAAAAAAACCATAATTCTAGTATAGTATCAGCAGTATTGCAAATAAATGCCAGGAAATATTAGACTGAGTATCCAAGAGAACGTGTAAAATAGGTTTGAAGGAATGAATAAGAATTTACCTGGCAGAAAGAGAATAATTAGGGAGAAGAAAGAGACTCAAAGACACAGACTCTAAGGGAAACTCACATTGTTGGTTTTGAATAAGAGTAGAAAATACACTGACCAGTTATTGTCAAGTTGATTCTAACTCATAATAACCATGTGTAACAGAGGAAAAGAGTCCCAGAGGGTTTCCTGGGCTGTAATCTCTGCCAAAACAGTCTGTCACATCTTTCTCCTGTGGAGAGACTGGTGGGTTCGAACCACCATCCTTTGGGTTAGCAGCTAAATGCTTAGCCACTGTGTCACTCGAGCTCCTTCATATTATATTATAACAAGACCAAATCATGAGCCCTAATCATCATTCTTGGCATGGCAGGGGCATCGACCTTTATATTTGAAGTGTTAAAAACCTGAATTTTTTTGTTCTTTTTTAAGCGTGGGCTTGTGTCATTGAAAGAAATTTAATTTGTGACTTGGTAAATTAAATTGAAATATTTTAGGCAAGAGATATGGTGGGACAAAAATACTGTCTAGAGGCAAATAGCAACTTGAACCGATCAGCTGTTGAGGATGAGCAAGAAGGAGATGGCGAGAGTTGCTCTGGGTTCTAGTGTAGATGTTGTTGTTGTTAAGTGTTATCGAGTCGGTTCTGACCCATAGCGACCCTGTACAGGTTTTCCGAGGCTGTCACTCCTTCTGGGAGTAGAAAGCCTCATCTTCTGCGGAGCAGCTGGTAGTTTTGAACTGCTGACCTTAAGGTTCGCAGCCCAATTCATAACCATTATGTTACCAGAGCTCCTTAGTGTAGAACGTACTGGGTAAATAAATGGTGGTGCAGTTGAGGTCCGCAAGCCATTCTAGCATTGTATAGAGTTCTTGGCATGTTTAAGCAGAATTTGGCTCTTTTATAGATTCTTTTATGGAAACTTTGATGCTGGAGTCTACATATTCAGATACTTTATTTTCTGGCATCAGAATAGAACTCCCTATCAAAGTCAGGAGCAAGAAAAAGATAATACTGTTTAAACCATCGTCATGCATGTTCTAACCAGTTAATTAAAGGAAGAATAACAGGTATTTGTCAGTGTCATTTAAATTAAGTAACATTGAAAACAATCAGTTCCGACATTAGGGACTTGGTTAAATAAATTTTAGTACATCCATAAAATAAAATTCTATATCAGCTTGGCTAAAAGCTGCCAAGATTCTATATGCCAGATTGGCTAAAATTTTAAAAGATGGATAACACTAAATACTGCAAATATGTGGAACAATCTAAACTCTTATACGTTGTTGGTATGTGTGTGAAATGATCCACCTACTTTAGAAAAGAATGTGGCAGGTTCTTATAAAACTAAATGTGTTCATACCCTATGATCCAGCATTTCTAGGACTAGGTATTTCCCTAGAGAAATGAAAACACAACACTCTGAACGAGATGTTCATGGTGGGTTTAGTCATAACAGTCCAAAATTGGTAATAGCCTAAACTTACATTAATAAGAGAAAGAATACTTAAGCGGGCATATCTAAGTGCTGATGTGGTACTATAGGATAAGCACTGAACTATTTGTAAGATTGGCAGTTCAAACCCACCAGCCACTTCTTGAAAACCCTATAAAGGTTTACTGTGAGTTGGAACTGATTCGACAGTGATAAACAACAATAAAATCTAAGCAAAGCAGTACTGCTCAGTATGAAAAGGAAACAACATGAGTGAATTTCAAAACTGTTACACTGAGTGAAAGAAGCCAACTAAAAAAGAATTTGTACTGTATGATTATATTTTTATGATTTTCTAAAATGAAAATCTAATCTATGGTGGGGGATAAAAGTCAAAAATTGTGGTTGCTTTTGTAGTTGAGGGCAGGTAGTGACTGGGAAGGGACAGGAGTGAACTTTTGGTCATGTTCTATGTGTTGGTAGTGGTTTGGGTTACATTCAACATTTCCCTGTCTGCAAATTTTTCATCAAAAGGAGAAGTCAATAGACAAATATTGGAATGTAATAAACAACATGTTTGATGAAGTATTTAGGAAAAAGTGTTCCTATTGGTTCGAGCCCATGGTGAGCCTAGAGGATGTAGTAGAACTGCCCCAGAGGGCTTCCAAAGATGCAGATGGTCTTCACAGAAGTGCATCACTGTCACTTGAACCAGAGTGGCTGATGGATTAGAACTGCCAAACTTCTGATTACCAGGTGAGCACTAACTCACTGTGCCACCAGAGATCCTTGAAAATCTGTACAGATGTTGACAATCTACATTAAATGTTTCAGAAACATAAGATGAGTTGTTGGATGGATGTTAGTTGCCTTGGACTCACGGTGTGACAGACTTGAACTGCCTCATAGGGTTTTTGAGGCTGTACTCTTTAGAGGAGCAGGTCACCCGAACTTTCCTCCCATGGAGCTGCGGGGTAGGTTCTAATCACCAGTCTTTCATTTAGCCTCCATGCACTTAAGTGTTACAGAGCTCCTTGTCGGATGGATAGAGGGCAAATAAAACATGTATAGAAAATGTTAATGGTGACATCTAGATCGTGAATATGCAGATGTGCCTTGTACAGCTCTTTTACCACTTCTTGATATTTGAAATTTTTGATACTAACATTGGAGAGTAAATTCTATGCAGCCATTGAAATTCAAGTTTTGATCTGGGGAAATGGTCACTGCATTATGTTTTAAAGATTGAGTTGTAAAACTATATCTGTAGTACGTTTTAAAATCTGCTCATTAATCACCACATTAGTAACATGTTTTCTGTCATCTATCTTTTTGTAATTTCCAGATTTTTCACTGGGAATGTCTCTTTTTTAATCAGAGGAATTTGCGGGAGAACAAATTAAACTTCTTCCCATTTAGTTGAGTTCTTTTCCACATGTTGCTCACAAACTTCTCTCAAAGTTATTTTAGTTCATAGATAATTTGAGGTAAAAGAAACATTTTTTGTTTTTAAAATGAATGTTTTGGGTTGAAAAATCATTGCTGATATTTTTAGATATTTGAAGTACTACATTTAAAGCTGAAAACATATTACACAAGGGACATTTTCAGATCCTGTTAACTAATTGGACGTAGCTGCTCCCCTCTCTTTGCTTGTTTTCAGGTCAGTAATTTTTATGTTGTGTTTGCTGCAGTGTCAGAAAGTTGTGGAATTACTGGACCTTAAACCTCTGGGTGTCTGAGTGTGAACCAAACTGTTGAGACAAGAATGTGAATGCTTTAAAATGAGTAACAAGAGCTACAACATCCAGGAATGAGCCATTTCTCAGAGAAACTCTGTATGAGATAGGAATTTGAATCTAAGTGGCTCAGACAATACTTTCACAATTGTTTTGTGAACAACAAACAGGCTACTCAGACATATCTATACTGAATAGCAAAAAGGAACATAAGAAATGCCATTTGTTCCAGGTTTTCACATCGGATATTTGACCAAAGGACTCCTTGGTAGAGAGAATTGTTGGTTTCCCCCTAACATCAGTAAGTCAGGAGTAGTTTTCCAAGTTGTAATGAATTTAGCTAAACCTTCTGTTTAAGCTATTATAATTTTAGCTACATACCTTTTTGTGTTAGTGATTACAAATTATATTTGTACTCATTTGGCCATAATCGATTTGAAATGAAAGTTTCTTTGTTTTGGTATATAAAAATTTGATGGATAGGTTATATTTTTCTGTTTCCATACCCTTTAAAATTTTATTAAAGAACTAGAAATTAAACAATAGAGGAAAGCTTATAATAAAAGCTAACAATTTTGTTTCTTATTACTCCCTACTTCCAGTCCCAAGTTTCTGAAGTAAGCATAATAATTGTTTGATTTTTGTTTCCCTAGTGGCCACAGCTTTTATTCTAAAATATCTTTATAGCAGTATTTCTTAATGTCTCCATATCAAATACTGTTTAGTACCTGATATGACACATGAATGTGAACCAAAAATAACTCAAAATTGAGAAGGGGAACCAAATATTCACTTGTT